TTTTAGGAAATTAGATGTACAAGCAACAGTTGTACATATAAATAGGAAAAACAATTAACAAAGCATCATGAAACATTATCTAAACTGTTTTAAAATGCTCAACTGCTTTTGCAAACAGTGTATTCTTTGTTATGGCTTTTTGGAGCAACACATTCTACATGATATAACAACATCATGAACAACAACAATAATCTAGCTGTTGTACAGACTGTGTGCCATTTAATAGAGAAGTTAACACATTTGTTGTTTGTTAAATGCTTTCCCAAGTGTCATGTTCCATCAATAACCTGAGATCAATGTAGGGGAAAGTGCACAACTTAAGTGGACAAAAGATTGATCATTTAATGTGTTAATTACACTTTACTGGCCTGTCCCAGCCAGGTCAACATTGCTGTATTAATGAATGAACAGAATACAAACATGGTCCTAACATGATTATTATTGTATATTAGTGATTTTTAATATTGAATTCCTATCTGGCCTTATTCTTCCTGGTATACAGGTATTACATATCTAAACTGCCAATATTTTTGTAGTTTGTTTCCTATTGAATTTGTGTAATGGAGTTACCTTGTTTAAATATGGAATTGATCTTTTTATAGAATAATGTACAAGATTTTAATCTCAATTATCAAAACTGAACAGCCAACTTAATATTTTCGACTAAAACAATGCTTTGAATCTTCCATGGCATTGTATTGCATTTATTAGCTATTGTCTGTGCCTGTGCACAGTGCATCACCTGTATTCTAAGTGCTTTCAAGGCAATCACACTGCCCTTCCACTGGGCTTATAAGGCAGGATTTGCACTTTGACCTTCCAAATTCATTTATGTGCCATTGTAAATTTTATTGCACAGTTGTGTTTAACTTTTATCAGAATGCAGCACACAACAACTGGACATGTTGCTGTTATGTTTGTGGTCCTATTGGCTCAACTCGGCATTCTGAAGGACTATTTTTCTTCCATAAGAATGCACCTGTCTACCAGAAGCAAAGCAAATGATTTTAAATTTAGAATATTCATCCTTAATAATACAGCAGTTACCAACAGGCATGTTTCAATGATGCTAATGCAGCTGTCTTATATGCATTGTAAACTTATTCTAAAATCAATATTTGAAACGAAAACAAATACTATCCAAAATATATCTTAATTTCATGTGAAAAGGGAAGTCGTAAATTTGAAACAGCATAAAATTGTCTTATAATAGGCGAAAGATCTATAAATCTATTGAAAGAAGTTTCTCACGAAAGGCATAGACCTATTTGACAATTATACCAGTAAAATATAGGGTTTTGAAATCTAATTGTGGATCTATTTTCTCGCTACTTTTCATTCAAATTGGTCAAATCTTCTTGTGGAAAATAACATTGAATAGCAAATTATTCACAAGTTATTTGTTGAAAATTATTATGTAGTTTGCAATTCTTCACAATTACAGAGGAAATAATTTCAATTTCTATAATGCTTTATCATTTAGATTTCTCTTATTACCTATATTTTGCTACATCATAGTATATTGCTGATGTCTTATATGGAACAAGAATAATGGTTAAAATGTCTTTTAATTCAAGAAAATGAGATAAGTTGTCTACAGAGTACTGGTGTTTTAAATCAGTACTTCTTTTAAGGATTCTTAAATTAAAAACTATTTTTGAATTCCTTTGATTCTGTTTTAACTGTATTATTATTCTACAGTTAAGTTTATGTGACATGTTCTCGACAAGAAGTTATGTTTTGGGTATTTTGGTTCCATATTTACTATATTGAAAGGGAAAAAACCTAAATCGAGACCGGCACCTATGAATATCTTCCAATGATTAAAATAAGGTTTTTATGCCACCGCAGCATCTGCGATGCGGTGGCATATAGCAATTCACCTGTGTGTGTGTTTGTTTGTGTGTGTGTGTGTTATATAGATTATATAGTGAACTTAAAAAATCTTCTTGTGAAAAACCACTTGTCCAATTTTAACCAAACTTGGCAGGATTGATCCTTGGGTGAAGGGCTTCCAAAGTTGTTCAAAGAATTTCATTCCATGCAGAAATCTGGTTGCCATGGCAACCAAAAGGAATTATAAGAATAAATTTAAAAAATCTTCTTGTAAAGACCCAAAAGGCTTAGAGCTTAGATATTTTGCATAAGGCATTGCCTGGTAGACCTCTACCAAGATTATTCAAATTATAACCCTGGGGTCAAAATCGGCCCAGCACCGGGGGTCATTGATTTTCACTATATGTACATATATAGTAAAAACTTAAAATAACTTCTTGTAAAGACCCAAAAGGCCTAGAGCTTAGATATTTTGCATAAGGCATTGTCTGATAGACCCTTACCAAGATTGTTCAAATTATAGCCCTGGGGTCAAAATCACCCCGGCCCCGGGGGTCATTGATTTTCACTATATGTACATATAGTAAAAACTTAAAATACCTTCTTGTAAAGACCCAAAAGGCCTAGAGCTTAGATATTTTGCATAAGGCATTGTCTGGTAGACCTCTACTCAGATTGTTCAAATTATAGCCCTGGGGTCAAAATCGGCCCTGCCCCGGGGGTTATGGGTTTTCCTTATATGTATATAGTAAAAACTTTATAGTAAAAAAATTTCTTCTAGCAAATGCTAGAGGTTAGATATTTTGCATGAAACATTGTGAAGTGAACTTCTAGCGAGATTGTTCAAATTATAGCCCTGGGGTCAAAATTGCCCCTGCCCCAGGGTCATTGATTTTCAATATATACATAAAGGTACAAGGCTTAGAGCTTGAATATTTGTTAAATGATATCATCTATAGGTACTCTACCAAAGTTTTGTCAAATTTTGCCTCTTGTGTCAAAATTAGCCCCGCCCCATGGGCCATAGGTTTTCCTTATATGTATATAGTAAAAACTTAAAAAATCATCTTCTCTAAATTTACAAAGGCTAGAGTTAAGATATTTTGCATGAAACATTATGTAGTGAACCTCTAGCAAGATTGTACACATTATAGCCCTGGGGTCAAAATTGGCCCCACCCCCAGGAGTCATTGATTTTCACTATGTACATATAGTAAAAAAAAAAGAAATATTTTTGTCTGAAGGTACAAGGCATAGAGCTTTGATGTTTGCTCTATAATATATTCTATGGGTTCTCTACTAAAGTTGTTTTAATTATGCCCCTAGTGTTAAAATTGGCCCTGCCCAGGGGCAGTGATTCTCATTATGTTCACATAGTAAAAACAGAAAATAAAACAAATCTTTTCTGAATAGGAGAAAGCTACAGCTTAGATATTTGACTTGAAATGTTGTTTGGTGGACCTGTATCAAGATTGTTTTGAATTAAACCCTTGGGTCCAAAATTTTGCCTTGCCCAAGGGGACAGTGACCTACTTTCTTGTCCTTTGATGTACAGCAATGCAATTTTGACCATGTGCACAGTTTTAGTTGTAAAACTGAACTTTGATATCAGGTGAACTAGATTTTGATGATGTGACCTACTTCCTTGTCCTTTGATGTACAGCTATGAAATTTGAACCATGTGTACAGATTAAGATGTTAAGTGAACTTTGATTTCAGCTGACCTAGATTTTGACAAAGTGTCTTACTATGTTGTCCTTTGATGTAGTCATGAAATTTAGGCTGTGTGAAATATGACCTTCACCACCAAATTCACTAGACTCAAGTGCATTGATATATTCCTACTCTGATCTTTTATTGAGTTAACAACAGATTTAACCACTAATCTGATAATAAGAATTAGATAGGTCAGGGATCTATGCATTATGACAATCTTCAAAATTGTATAGAAACAAAGAAAATCTGTTCCTACACTACTATTTAGTGTTGTATTAATGTGGTGGCATAGCATTTTTCTCAAATGCAATCTTGTTTATTTATTTATTTTTAACAGGAAACAAAGTCAGGTATAAAAGTGGTGTTGATCATATTATATTGTTAAACACTGATATTATAAAAATAGATAGGAAACACATAAAGTGACATGTTACTTAGAGACTGCATAAGTTATTGACTGCATATATCTGTACAAACTGCAGGTAATTCTGTAGATTTACAAATGTCAGGTAACAGGGGGGTGTTCATTTACTGGATATGAGCTTTACCAGATCTAAGTCATTAAAGATGCTTAGCAAAAAATATGTTAAAACTTGTTTTTAATGGATTGATTGTGCGGAAAGAATGAACTCATTTGCAACTGGGTTGGAAAAAAGCTTACGAAAGCAGATGTTTTTCATGGGGAAAAATACAAAAATACTTAGCAAATGAAAAGTTGAACATCTGTGAAGGGTGGCTTAGTTATTATGATGATGTATTTAACATACTTTATTCTTTTTTTCTTTTTTTCCCTGCATTCCTGCAGGCCTCCTTGCAACTGGAGCGGGGCAATAAATGTTTGTGAGACCCCAGATTATCTAATAATTAGCTCACAAGTATACCATAGCCCAGAAACCTCATAGTGTTTACCGTAACATTCTACTCATAATTGCACTGTTTTTGTCTTAATTCTTGCTTTATTGTGATATAGTGATATTATATAAAACATAACAGAAAATTTTACAGAACTTTAATTGTTGGAAATATCAGGAGGATTTTAAGTTTTGTCATTTATAGCAAATGGGACTATTTTTGTATTTTCTAGTTCTTTACTGTATGTTTTATGTTTGTCAGAACTTGGTGATTTAAGAGAGAAGGGAAAAGGTATATATCTTTTTGTTTCCTCATAAGAATGATTGTACATGTATTGTAGTGTTTATTTGATATCTATCTGATGAAGTATTAGGTTTTTTGATCTAAGGAAAAATTCTCTTTAAGAGAGGGACTGACAGTATGTGCAAGTAATTTGTATTGAAAGACAAGAATACTGTCTGTTGTAGACTGAATAATTCATGGAATTCAACAGACAGGAGAACTATAACATTATAGGGAAACTGTTGTCTGTATTTCCATAGTTTTATAGTTTTTATGTAGGCAGTGTTTATAAAGATTTATTTTTCTATTTTCAGACAAGAACTAGAGCATCGTGGTACTATGAACTTTGGGTAAGTTTTAAGTTTTTACTACTATATCTATATTAAAAATCCCAATTAAAGTGCTACATATTAAGATTTTAAGCATCATCAATTTTCATCAAATGCTTAAATTGTCCAGCTGCTGCTACACAGTCATTACAGGTATGATCTTAAAGCACTCCCAAATCATAGAGAAAAGGGGTGTTGTGTTAAGATTAAAGAACTGTTAGTACATGCAAGTGCTTCTGAAATCTGAAAAGTATTTTATAAAACTAAACCCTGGGACTTTTAAAATCTTGTTCAGGTTTCAGTTTCAGACAAGAAGGAAAGCAAGAAAGTAACATTGCCTGATCTTGACAAATGTAGTTTTCCCATCTTATCCCAGGAGCCGAAGTACCTTTAAAAAGTGGCTTTTTATGTGCATTTATAAGAGCACAATAAATAAATGCAATGTAAAATGATCTTTATATCCCAAAATTCAATGTAAAATGATCTGTACCAGAACAAAAAATTTATATATAGTTACATTGATAAAAGATAAATGCACAGTCTGACAAAACTGTATCTGCAGCAGAAGAAATCTACAAAAGATAGATAATTAGCTATAAGCTTTATACAACTTTCTGAGGAAATTAGATTTAAATTGATTCAAGTCACAGACCCAGTAACATGCAGTACATTCTACTTTGTATGATGTTAGATCAAACATTTAATGTAATATATACAATTGAGAGAGTGCATGTTTGTGTTATTGAGAGAAAAGGCCAAAGAAATTTGAAAATGTGAAAGGGGCAATTATTTCTTTTTTTATCACCTATTAGGAATTAAATGATATTGCACCTGTATTTAACAAAGCTTGTCATGTAATAGTGTAATTATTGTGTGGTTTTCTGTACACAGTGCATGATTCATACATTAAGTATGTTTAATGTATCATGGTGAAACTAAGAAGACAAAAGAAACTATTTTAGGGAGGTGTACATTTAATACATGCACAATGTAGTTGGTATATTTTTGGTTTATGTAAAGATTAGGGAAAAAAGAATAACACCTTAGATGTGACTGACAGTACTGGAAATGTTTTGGTTGTTTAAGCTGAAACAAAATGAAATGTAGGGTTGAAAGTTGAAGGAATATCTGTGTTTTCATCCTGTAGAAGGGTTCCTCCTCAATCACTAGAGATCCTAATTTTTCCCATAATGTGTTGTTAAAAAAAAAATCCCCAGTGAAAAAATTGTTGAACTTGGACTTGATTCTGAATTATTTAGTTGTTAAAACAGCCAGAATGGGTATATCTATTGTAAGGGGCTTAGAGTAAACAGTTTGATACTCTGAAAGGCAGGTTTCTAAAACCAATAAAACATTAACTCAAATTCACACATACATGTTTAGTGTTCAGCTTGTTCTGTAAATTAGTTAAGTAAACAGAAAAGTTTACTTTTCTCATTACATATATTTTTCGTCTGGACAATTGCAACATTGTAAATATTGTTGGTTTTTTTTTTAACTGAGAATAAAAATTTGGTATGATGATGTACAATAATTTTATGATCGTAATCTAGTGAGTCATACATCAATACATGTATCATCAAACTTCTAAACAGTTCTTTCAAATGGTTAATTTTGCAAAGTATTCACAATCCTAATTTTATTATTTATTTGATCTGTTTGAAACACATTGATCAGCTGTGTAAGCCATATTTAAGATAAGAAATGCACACAAAAACTGATATTGGAGTACTTATAACAAGTATATCTGAACATGTTGTTTATATCTCTTCATATTTTCACCAGCTCAAATATTTTACATCAATCAATATTTTTGTCATGTCTGGACTTATTTCATGTTTATGTGTGTCTATGTAGGAGCCTAAAGCTAGGGATGGTCATAAATATTTTAATTGCACTTTTACAAAGAAATTTTCCTGCTTTCTTATTGGCATGGATATTTTCCCCTTGTTAACTGTATTAGTAGCTTATACTATCCTGCATACAGGGTATAATTCTTAATAAACTACCTATTGCTTACCAAAAGTAGTAATCTTATGCCCCTACTTAAAAAACAGGCACCATACTTTAATAAGGCCGAGTTTGTGAAATGTGGTATAGTTTTTGCCCATGACCGCATTGATTTTAATGTCAGTAAGTCAAAGGTCAAGGTCACCATGGGCTTTAGCTATAACCATGAGTAAATGATTTTTTTAGCTTGTCTGTGTCGGAGAAAAAGTTGAGCTATTATGATAGCTGCATTATGGTTGCGCAAAAACTTTAATGTAGCCCATTATGCAACAATTTTAAAAGTATCAATATTAAACTTGGATTCTTGCTTATCATGACAAGGCTAAGCACCATAGTTTGACAAGGGGCATAATTCTGAAAGCTGTATTTTTAGTGACTATTCGATAAAATAATAGACGAGCTATTTAACCGCAGTGTGCTCGGTCAGGACCCCTTATGTAAAGTTTGGTTAGTCCCAATTTTCAAGATTCATTAAATATGGCTCTTTGTAAACTAACACTTGTCCCATATGCATTCTGGTAGGAATGAGACATAAGAAATTAACACAAAACAAAGTGTCAGATCTTTTTGTGCTTAAACATATATATTGATAGCTAGACATTTTAACCTTTCATGTACAACAGTTTACTATAGAGTTCTTTGCTTTTTGATCAGATATGTTAAATGTAAGTGACTGTCAACAGTTACTACTTTTCTAATATATTTTGAAATTGTTTCAAAGCAAACGCTTAACATACTGTTAAAATATGGGGCGCACCTGTAGCACTATGCACACATCTGCAGAACTGAATGAAAATAGCACACATGTATTTTGTATTAAATCTTTGACACTAGATAAGTAATACACATAGTTTTTTATCAAACTTAAAAGGTAAAAGGACTTTGATGTATAAAATGGAATATTTTTATCAAGATGCCCACTGTTAAAAATATATTTTAGTGAGTTGAGAAAATAAATACTGGTTCATGTGATATAATAGAAGAAATGTTGAACATGGTTTTCAGTTTGGAAAATATTTGATTGTATTGATCTAAATCATCAGAAAAACACCTACCTTGTATTTTCTAAGAATTAGAAAGAATTACAGCAAGATCATCACAAATGGCACACCTGATTTGAAGTGAAGTTTTGATGGTGCTATAGATATACATTGAGTTAAGGCTAGAAAGATGCCTTCATTGTCAGATTGCATACATGTATTGTCAGACTGCATACATGTATTGTCAGACTGAATACATGTGTTGTCAGACTGAATACATGTATTGTCAGGCTGCATACATGTGTTGTCAGACTGCATACATGTGTTGTCAGACTGCATACATGTATTGTCAGACTGCATAGTCAGACTGCATACATGTATTGTCAGACTGCATACATGTGTTGTCAGACTGCATACATGTGTTGTCAGACTGCATACATGTATTGTCAGACTGCATACATGTGTTGTCAGACTGCATACATGTGTTGTCAGACTGCATACATGTGTTGTCAGACTGCATACATGTATTGTCAGACTGCATACATGTATTGTCAGACTGCATACATGTATTGTCAGACTGCATACATGTATTGTCAGACTGCATACATGTATTGTCAGACTGCATAAATGTATTGTCAGACTGCATACATGTATTGTCAGACTGCATACATGTATTGTCAGACTGCATACATGTATTGTCAGACGGCATACATATATTGTCAGACTGCATACATGTGTTGTCAGACTGCATACATGTGTTGTCAGACTGCATACATGTATTGTCAGACTGCATACATGTATTGTCAGACTGCATAAATGTATTGTCAGACTGCATAAATGTATTGTCAGACTGCAATTTTAGATGACATGTCTGACAGCATAAATTTTTGTCCAACTACATATATTCAGTGTACAGATGCACGGCAAGGTTTTTCTTAAAAGCATTAAATTCTTGCAGACGCATAGATATAACTGCTTGTTCAACTGCAAAAGATATCAACTACTTTTTCCGTTTAGGGGAGAGATTGCTTTATGAATGTCTGACGATTAACCACTACATTCGGCCAAAGATGACGCCAGATATGTCTTGTTGGAGCCTATCTGAGAATTTCTTTGGGCAGACTCAAACTAAGATGCCTTTGTCAAGATAGTATAGATGCCTTGTTAAATTGTTTAGATGGCCTGTTGCACTGCTTAGATGTAAACTGCATCAGATATCTTGTCATTTGTATGGATGTGAAGTCTGGCTAGCTTTTATACTGATGTTAAAATGATCTCGTTAAGGCCAATAACTTGCGATCAGAGAGTTAATAAACTGTGTTTTGTTTATTTATTTATAGTGAAGACAACATGAACTACATGCATGAAGATCAGTATGGTGGGCATGGCCCATACAGTGGAGATTATAACTCATATAACGGAGGGCCACACCATGACACATCCCTACATTCATCACATGTATCATTACAAAGTACAGGCAGTAACAGAAACAGAGCACAGGTATGTTTTAATCTTTTGCCTCAATCTAAATAAAGGTAGGTTACCTTTTATGTCCAAGTGTGGAGCTTATAATTAGATATTAAAACCAATGTAAGTTGAAACTTAAATAATGAGAACTTTATCAATTATCTTGTATGCTATAAAGGAGAAAGACTAAACAAAGTTTTCAAAAGTAAACTAAGGAAGCAAAATGCAGGTGCTAATGAATCATCCTGACTGTTTATATAATATAACATAATACATTTTTGATAATTATGTATCATAAATTGAGTTTCATTTTATAGCTTTGTCTGACACATGATTGTTTCATTTTTCACCTGAAATGTTTTCTTAAGTCATAATTGAGCCACATTTCATTCTTTTCTGACATGGCTGTAACTTTTAACAAAATATCTTTTTTGTTCAGTAGTAACATTATTTGTGTAATTTTATTTTCAGATGAAACTTAGCAACCACAACCTGGGCAGTCAGAGGTCAATACCCCAGGATCAGTATAACCAGGACAACTACGCCCCCTATTCTAGTCTACAGAGGAATGATTATCAAGGATCTCCAGTCCCCTCAAATGGGTCCCCACGGGGACCGGGCACACCTACAAGGTTTAATAACAATTACGATGATTATCAAGATAATTATCGTAATAGTCCTGTAGCTTATCAAGCTAATCCCTCTCAGGGATATGGGGAGCCAGATTATTATGATGAAAATCCCATGCAGCAACAATACTTCCAACATCCAGAATCAGCCAATCACAATGATTCTTTTAGGTAGATTCATTTTATATCATAGACTGATCTTACCTCCTCCAAAAAAGAGTTCCTTAATTTATGTTTATCCCACCCTACTGGAAATTAACTGTCTGATTTTTTCATCTCTCATGAATGTTTACAAAGTGTGTTTTAATTGATTTAAAATGTAGCAAACACCTTAAATAGTAACTTTACTATACATTTGCCTTGTTGAATGTCTGTTATTTGAGAGAATTTTGTCTGTTTGAAATAAATTCTAATCTATGTAGGTAATTTTATTATTCTGGTATGAAACAAAATGCTGCATTGGGTTTGTACAATAGGCAGTTTTATTGAATATTTACTAAAAAAAGAAACAACATAGTTTAGTCAGTGTATGTCATTTGTTACGGTCCATGGAGTGTTGAACTTCACATTAAAGTATATTTCTTTGTTAACTTGATGTTCGTAAATCCTGGGAAAAATATTTTTCAAGACCTTTTAACGTGTTTACATTAAATTGATGTGTTTTGGTATGTAGATTTCAGATTTGAAATTAATTTATTTCAAAAGTACTCATAGTATAGATAACATACACTGGTTAATTTGTTGAAAACATTTGAGCCGCGCCACGACAAAACCAACATAGTGCGTTTGTGACCAGCATGGATCCAGACCAGCCTGCGCATCCGCGCAGTCTGATCAGGATCCATGCTGTTCACTTACCAACTCTATAACAAGTAGAGAAACTGATAGCGAACAGCATGGATCCTGATCAGACTGCGCAGGCTGGTCTGGATCCATGCTGGTCGCAAACACATTATGTTGGTTTTGTTATGACGCGGCTCATTTTATACTTTTTTTAAAGTGGTTTATTTTGGTTGTAGTAATATTTACTAAGATTGCCTTAAACTGTTGATGCATGCATGGATGTTAATGTGTGTTTGTAAATAAATTTGGCTAGACGTTTAAATGTTTTAATAAGACTCCGATCATTGTAGAACACAGAGATTAGTGTCAGCTAATTAATTATCCTGTAGTTTATATCTAGGAAGCTTAAAACAAAAGGAAAATTATTTTATAATAAGAAAAATAAAATTATATTTATCTCTTTATAGGAATTAATTTGTTTCTAAAACACAAGATTTATGGGTTTTCTAAAGGTAGTTTTTGTTTCATATAAGGAAAGTATATGAACCTGTCTTAGTAAATTTTTGTTTCCCGATCAGATATGAACAATGTCAAGATTGTTTCAGAAATTTACCTTTTTAACTGTGCTATAATACACATATTTTCTTTTTTGAAATTTAATTGTATCCTTAAGCTCAGTTATGGCACTTTATATAGCACAGAATTTGCATGTTACAGGCTCTCTTACTCTAGTAATTCATGAAAGTAATTATGACCTTAAAAAAAAAACAGAGTTTTTTTTATGGGATTATTGGTGAAAGTCTCCATTTTAGACAAAAGATTTATTATGCGTAAGATTGGTCTATGAAAGAATCTAGGGTTAAGTCTAGGTGTCTAGCGTTTCTGTAACTTTCTTGGAAAACAAAAATTAATCAACTTGTATGTTTTCCCTTTCAAGCATGATTTATTTAACAATGCTCTTTGTTAAGACACTGTTGCATATTCAACATGTTATTGAAAGAAAGTTAAAATAAACAATACATTGATATAAGTAAATAAATAAAGAGATTCATAGCTGAAATTGGATAAGTTAAAGTTCACTTTCTTCCCATATTTAATTAGATTATCAAAATGTGTATTTTTAGTTACTCATGCTCAAAATCAAATATTGATTTTATGTTTTGGCAACACACATTTGCTTAATTAACTTTTGCGCAAAGATCAATCTAATAAGAAAAGAGTTTAATTGTTGCAAGTAGTTTGCTAGACTGGTATACTAGACTCGTAATTTACTAGAATGTTACCATCTATACTGGTTAACCTGACTGGTACTGTATACTGATTTACTTAAATGATGAACAAGTATATTTATTTAACAAGACTGGTACACTAGATCAATTAACTATAAACAGAGAATATGGTGATAGTCTTCTATATTTATATTCTTTCTTTTTTTTCAAGTGAACTGTGTTCTGTTTGGTATTAATGTTTTGTTATCTTTGGTTCATTTTGTTGTATATTTACTCTCTCGGTTATTTCTGCTATTTATGACTCCTTGATATTATCTGTAACATAAATCTTACACTCTTTCTGAATAATGAATTTTGGAGAAATGATATTAAAAATTTTGTTGTTAATCTTAGTGATTTTGATAATACAGGAAATGGTGATATTTATGATATATCTTTTGTGTCTTATATGATGTTTTTAATTAAAATACAGATATTTGTATGTTTTTAGTGCAGAGAGATATTGAGAAAGTTTGTATTAAATTTAAGTGCCTAAAATGTGAACAAAAGAAGTGTAAGATATTTACCATCTTCATGAAAGAATTAAAAATTATTTTCTTTCATGCTTTTTAAATAACATTACTTTTATTGCTGTCTTTTGTAATTGAAGTTCCTTAGAGATATAGGTATTTAATGGGTGTATTTCAGGGGAGGGCAGGATGACAGATATGGTGGTCCACCTGAGGACAGCTTCTATAGACAGTCACCTATGCTAGATAACAGATACGGAGGTGGAGCACCTCCTGATGACCCTCGGGACAATTATATGGACAGTCCCAGGGGTGGTTACCGTGGTGAAGACAGTTTTCAAGGTCATCCTGACAACAGTTTCCAAGGGCAACCAAATTATTCTAGCCAGCCACAACTAGATAGGTAGGTTTTATTGAGTACATTATTCTCTCATAACACAGTTTTTGTGACAAATTTATCAACTAAATTTCTTAATCATAACTACAAATCACCTTGGAAGGATATATTGAAGAGGTATAATTAATAAGATAATTTTATGGGTTATAAACCTTTTGAGTTAGTTTTCTTTTTATCTGATCATTATTTTCAAACATACTTTTTAGGTATGGTCAGCCAATTGAGAATGGATATCCAGCTGGTATGATGCCCCAAGAAGAGGTGCCCCACCCTGATGACAGATACAGGGATAATATGGATGACAGCTATAGAGGCCCTCAGGATGAGGGTTATCCTGGCCCTCAGGATGACAGTTACAGAGGGCCTCAGGATGACAGCTTCAGAGGCCCAGTTCCACAGGATGACAGGTCTATACCCACATTGTAAGATTTATAAATGAAGCAAAATAGATGTAGACATGTGTTTGTATGACGTGGAACCTGTTACCTTGTACAGTTTGATATATCTCAAAAATTATATATATATTCAATATTCAACATTACTCATCAGAGAGAATAGAAGTTTCTCCAGTGTTTTACTTTGTTTTTGTGACAAATTAAATTAAATTTATATTATTATACCACTAGTCACTAGCGCTTGCCTATATGTCATTGCTTTCAGGGTAAAATGAAGTATCCTGAAGATGTGGACAAATATATGAATATAGATCATTATAATACTAAATACTGATGATTTACAGGTATAGAGATTTGAATGACGACGGTTATAGAGGGGATAATTATGATGACCAGCCATCCAATCCGAATTTCCAGCATGATCCTCATGGTAACGGTTACCCTGACAACATGCCACGTGATTACGGTGACGACTCATACCAGCAGGAACCAGACAGGCGGCACGAAGGTCTACCCCAGGTACAAGATGATCCATTTGCCGACGATCCATTCAGACAAAAGCAGAGAAGTTTGTTACAGTTACAAGGGGAGGATCCTTACCCCAGGGGACCTTCACCTGCTGCAGGGAGTGATAGAATGGGTAAGTTTAGTGATTTTCTGTTGTCAGCGCGTGGAATATAGAGTAATGTAAATGCTATATTCCTTCATAAAAATATTAACTTTGTAGCATTTAAATTATTACCACTGTTTTGATTAATCTTTCATAATGATAAAACAAACCATGTTTATACATGTTTTTATTTCCTCATTATGCAATGCTTAACTTCCCTCATTCAGTAATTATAATAGATAATTTCTCATACATAAAAGCTCAAACAAGAAATTGATCCCTGTAAGAAATTTAGGAGACAATGTTGGTAAATTATGCTCGGTATTATACAGGTCCCGGTAGTTACACAGATCGACCACCTCAGTATGACCACATGGATGGTCAGGAACCACCGGGACGATATTTTGATGAAGGTATGGGACCACCAATGGGCTCTCAACCACATATTGATAGCTATCCTGATGATGGGCGCCGGACACCCTCAACAAATGGTGGAAGTAAGTATTAATATTATTTTAGTTTTATCATTTATTTCTATTTGCTTGCCTGAATATAAACGTTTTGCATTGAAGAGAACCTGTCTTCCTTCCTAAACCAGTTATAGCTAAAAAGTTGCCATTAAACCTTTTAAATACATGATTTACATTTAACATTGAAATTGAAGTTATTGAAGATTTGTTTGACAAGTTGTATGACAATTAATTTTATAACCTATTACATTATCAGCTATGAGATGGAGATCTCCAGACCTTCAGGAAGTGATAGATTTTCTAAGCCACCCTAGTGATATGATAAAAGCCAATGCGGCTGGTTACATTACACATCTCAGTTACATGGATGATAGCATTAAACAGAAAGTACGAGGTCTTGATGGAATTCCACTACTAGTTGACCTATTGAACAGTGAGTTCCCTGAGGTACATAAAAATGCATGTGGAGCTCTGAAAAATCTCTCCTATGGCAGGAACAATGATGAAAATAAGGTATGTTAGAGATCTTTCTATAATTTAATACATATATATCATTACATTGCTCATATTTTAATGTCAACCTTTAGTATGAAGCTTAACTGTGGATTATAATTCATGAAGTAGTTGTCAGAACTTACAAAATAATTCTCTAATGTTATAATAGAGGTGTGTGTTATATTATTCTAATTCTAAAACATTTTTATTTTTGGCCATATGATACAGCAGTATTGTTACTCAAAATCTGATATCTTTATATGTTAACATTTCTGTAAATGTTTACAAGGCCAACTTACCTTACAGTATACACTGTATACATTAAATATGACTCAATATAATGAAAAGTTAGTCCTTTGATATATGTAAATTATAAAGCTTTTGTGTGGCACTGTAAAAATGTCAGTTTTTATGAATGGTAAATCAATGTATGTATATTTAAATATAGATATATTGCACTGAACTGCAATGTCTAGTGAATAATTGCGGTATTGTTTTTCTTGACAATAGTCTTAGACCTTATATAGTTAATGCTTTTCTTTGTGGTTTAACAAACAATTTAAATGAATAATTTATTATTATTATTATTTCCATGATTTTAGAAAGCAATAAAGAATGCAGGTGGAATTCCAGCATTGGTACGGTTGTTAAGGAAGACTCAAGATGAAGATGTTAAAGACTCGGTGACTGGTGTCCTCTGGAATCTCTCCTCTAATGATGTAAATAATTTATATATATATTACAATTAATTCATGTACAGCCTGTTTAACCTTTAACCTACTGAATTTCTTAAATGGACTGGTCCTGCTTTTGTTTTGGAACTATCCATTATCAATTTTGGGTGTATCAAGATGAAAATTTATAGTTATTCAGACTACATGGAAGGGCAAGCTGGCCTGACTCTATTCTGATGGCTGCAAAGGCTAATCATTTTCAGATCCAGCATAGAAAGGGTTAAGATAGTTAGAGTAAGAGCTAGTTTTAGACGTGAAAAAGTTGTCATTTTATAGATGATATGCCTTTGAATAACAAAGATATGTTCTTTAAGAAGTGTTGGGTACTGAAATCGGCATTAGTTAAACTTCTGCAAGTTATTAAACATGAAATACCCAAGCTTTGCAACAAATTAGACAAAATTAGACTTGTTTCTTATTCCAGGATCTGAAGAAACCTATCATAGATGATGGTCTGGCCGTGCTTGTTAATGTTGTTATAATTCCACATTCGGGTTTAGAGAAGCGGGGCCTAGCACCATTCCAAGCCCAGGAACCCTGGACCACAGTTTTCAGAAATGCCACAGGTGTTCTAAGGTATCAGTAACAGAAAATTTACAGCATAATAATAAAAAAACTAATGTCTTGTGTCTAAGTGTTAAAGTTTAACTGACTGCAAATCATGTTCAAGCTTTAATAGAGCTGGTAAATTCTTACATGTTAGGGAAAAAACTGTTGAGTCGGCTTACAGAAGGTATTCTACTTTCTCATTATATAATACATGGCAGAATAATTTTGTTTTCTTCCATCAGTAGAGTTGAAATGTTTGTTTCCTATTCATGATTTGATAACAGACTAAAGTTAACAGTCTAAAGTTTTTCGTCCAAGTTATATATTGTTAAAAGGATATATATTGTTTAAAGAATATTAAGAGGATATTTTTTCGTTTGAGTGAAATATGGAATATATTTTCACGAAACATGATAAAATGCCACATATTTTCACGAGCCGGGACGGCGAGTGAAAATATGTGGCATTTTATCATGTTGAGTGAAAATATATACCATATTTCACGAAAAACGAAAAAATAACCTTTTTATTTAATTTCATTATCAAAGAAAAATGGTTTCGAACCCCCTTGCTTGCTACTCAACTATAATTGTACAGCGCGCAGTAAAAATCATTGTCTTGTTTTGCACGCGATATTTAGCGCTACGTTGTGACGTCACGTAAACAACTCTTAAAACGTCTGTACAGCGTTAATGACTGAATTAAAGATATTGGTGTTCAGATTAATTTTCTTAGTTAGACCATTTTCTATCATTCTAGATAGTTTTCAAAACAAATTTCAGCAAAAAGTTGTTTTGTATTTATCAGATTTTTCAAACAAAATGGCGAAAGAAGTCCCATAAAATAAATATGAGTTTTGACTCCGCCCACTTTCATATTTATATTTCATATTTATTTAAAAAAAATATGAAATATATTTGACTGATATAGCACCATATTTCATGGGTAAAATTAAATAAACAATGATATTGACAGAGAACATATTATTTTACTCTTTACACAACAAGTAAGTTATACTAGAAGCAGCTTTTCCATCTGTTATGACATTGTGATTTGTTTGTATGAGACAAAACTCAAAAACATATTGTAATCAGCATGAAACTTCATAACACACTAAAGGCAAATAGTGTGTAAAAGGTATCTTAGCCAGGAGTTAATGAATAAACAATAATACAGGATTGATATTTATTTCAGGAATGTAAGTTCAGCTGGTATGGAAGCTAGAAAAAAGTTACGCGAGTGTCATGGACTTGTAGAATCATTAATTCATACATTACGGACTGCTATAGATCAAAATAATGTGGATAATAAACCTATAGAAAACTGTGTTTGTACATTACGTAACCTATCATTCCGGATACAAGAAGTCGAAGATCCAGATTTTTATAAAAAACGCATGGCAACATTAAAGAAACAAAAACAGCAAGGAAAGGGAGGTAAATGCCTCGAGATATTTGTTTTTATGTGAAAATAAGAAGTTATTGTGAATAGACAGTTTGTAATCATAAAACGTTTGTTTTTAAAGCAGCGCGCCTCCAGATTCATGCTAATTTTCATGAAAATTTGAAAATGTTTTTAACAGTATAATATTGTGAAGTTACCAGAAGAATGCAATTTGCACATTATCAATGGCACTTACAACCCAAGTAAATTACCATAAAGAGGTCAAAATGTGCAAAAATAGCCCTTACTGCATTAGTAACGCAGTAGAAATATAGAAATAAATACTGAAAAATCGGTCATTAATCGCACATAACATGTAAATTATTACTTGAACTTTGAATCTTAATACTTTTTATAAAATCTTAGTACATTTTTCTCAGGTTTGGAGGCGTGCATCTTCAAACATAAATTTTTATGTACTTAAACTAATGGGTATATTGAAACATAAGAAGAAAAAAAAATTATGCCCCTCATAAATTTGCCCATGTCCATCCCGCTGTCACGACCCTCCACAGACTGATAAAACTTTGAAATGCTAGGGCATCCATGAATTATGTACACATTAATAGTTATTCTCTCTGATATGGTATTTCATGTCACCAGCTTCATTTATTTATGATAATATTATTGAGTTTTATACAAGGCTTTTGTGTTAAAAATTTTAGGAATTTAATGAAAACTTAGTTTTTATTTGGGAAAATTCTATATGATTGTTATAACTTTTAAATAATATGTTGTGGTTTGTGCAAGTTTTTGATTGAAAATAAAATTACTGTTCATAGAATCACTATAGTTTCTAGTAGGTTTAGGATTCATGCAAGTTTGCTTGGTAAACTCAAGCATTATTTCTTAAATGTTGATGTAATAATTATAGTTGAAAAACCTAGTTGAACTAGTAAAATGACACTGTATTCACATTCAATAAAATGTTGTTTTTTGTAGAAACAACTGGGTGTTTTGGGGGTGGATCAAAAAAGAAGGGCACAAAAGGAAAAGGAAGTCAAAATGTAGACAGCATGTAAGTAAACATGTTGATTGTTTGATTAATTGATTGACTGGTTAATTGATTGATTGATTGATACTTAGTAATATTGTTTTTCTTTTTTTACGACACAAATGCCAAAAACGCAGTAAATTTAAAAAAAATTTAGTCTGTGATTTGTAAAAGTATAATTATTTCTTTATTAAACCTGCCATTTGGCAGAAAGGCCAGCTTTTCAAGGGGATTATATATGGGAATATTAACTAGGTCTGTGATTAGAAATACTCACTTTTCATTTTCATGTTACATGATATGAGAATCATTATTGTTTTCCCCATTTCTAGCTATGTTTATGAAAATTAAAAATATTTAGAACAATTTCTTCCTTGTTAACAAGGAAAAAAATTTGTAATTTATACTTCTTTTGTTTTTGCTTTTTATTACCTTAATTTTATAAGGAAATAAAATGATAATAGTTGAAACATAAATTTAATAATGTTTTGCATAATTTGCCAACATTTTAGCATATAATTAAAATTATTTGCATATTCATATATATAGGGAAATGCCAAGGTTACCTCCCTCTTCAAATGAATACCGAGGATTATGGGGCGTTGATGCAGTACGGTATTTCCTCACATTATTATCGGGCTCAAATCCTGTCACACTAGAGGCTGCATGTGGGGCAATACAAAATCTGGCTGCTTGTGATTGGAAGGTTTGTTACTTAGTAACATTTTCCTGGTTACCATTTTCAATATAAGTTTAAAGTTTTCTTTATTTTCTATTACATATTTAATGTTCTACTTTGTTCCAATTTTCTATTCACCAATTTTGTGGTGGTTTCTGTTGCTTAATCACATTATTATACTTTAAAACTACTTACTACTATAAGGCATTATAAATTCAGTTTATTTACATTTACACTACTCATACAGTTAAGCAAAACCTCTATCTTATATGTTATTAACACCCTTACTCATTTATAAAAATGCAATGTATGATCTCTGTTTAAATTATCCTCATGTTATAAATTTGAAAAGATGCAATACACCGTTTATTAGATCTCTAAATCATCTAGATTTTTGCTATATTTATCAGATATTTTGTATGAAAGATACCAGGAATATTTACGAATATTGAACTGTTTTATCTCTTATATAAACAGCCAGCGGTTGAGATTCGAGCATTGGTGCGGAAAGAGAAAGGGTTGCCAAGTCTGGTTGATCTGTTAACATACGAGGTAGAACGTGTTGTAGGAGCCTCCGCTACAGCATTACGGAACCTCTCTATCGATGAGAGAAATAAAGAACTTGTTGGTATGTATTCAAAACTGTCAGTGGAAATAAAGTAGAAAAATTTTGGTGTGTCAGTGAAGTTTTTACAAAACTTGGCCATGCCTAGGATGTAAACTGATAATTGACCTTGAAGATGACTAGAAGTCCTTCAGCAAACTGAGTTACTTTTCTGCTGGTGGCTTAATTTGAAACAGTTACCTTAGTAGTTGGTTTCATTGAAATTGTAATCTAGTTCCAGTTTAGATAAATAAACTTAAAGCTATCGTGTCAGGTTATTTCATTGCTCCCACTTTACTTGTAGTAAAGAAAATTTTTAATTCAATACTGAAAAATAATACGCAAAGGAAGATTATCAGAATACCTCATGTAACTAATTGAAAACTGTCAAAGAGTGGAAGTCACCAAGTACAATTTGAACATAAGATTAAAAGGTAAATTAGATATCTACTCTATTACTTTCAGGTAAATATGCCATGAAACAGTTAATAAGCAATTTACCACAAGAAAACAGACCAAAAGAATTAACAGATGAAACTGTGTGTGCAGTTCTGGCTTGTCTCAATGAAGTTATACAGCATAATCAAGAGTTTGCAAAGTAAGTTAATCATTTACTCTTTTACAAGACATTGCAGTTGGCAGCTATACCTGTATGCATTTCATAATTTTAAAGTTTTTTTTTTATCAACCTATATTTTCATTGTTGTGGGTTCAAATCCCTCCTAGTATCTTGAATTTCTTTTGAGTGAAGGCGTTAAACAGGTCATTTACAGATGTTTTGCCTAGGTGTATGCATCTGTCTTAAAAATGCATAACAAAACATATGGGCTTCTCCAACTATATAATCTTGAAAGTCACCAGACATAAGTAACAATTTTGATGTGATTTGTTTATCCAAAGCCATGTTGCTTGTATATTAATACTTAATACACTTCATTGGCCTTTTGAAGTTAGCTTTGTTTGTACACATTGTGCACATAGACTTTATTTGTAAAGTTATCTATTTTAAATTCATTCATACAACACTTAAAAAAAAATGGGCTCAACCTCTACATAAATAAAGAATTCTTAAAATTCGTGTTGCATAAAATTTGTGTTGCATTTTTTTTTTCTGTCAAGTTAAAAGTAGTACAATAGGACTTTTTGTGCCCCCACATTAGTGGCGGGCATTTATATTTACCCTTGTCCGTCCATCCTTCCGTCCGTCCGTCCGTTCACTTTTGTGTCGCACGTAACTCAAAAAGTATTTGACCTAAAGTCATGAAACTTTACAGGAATGTTGATCAGCATGTGTAGTTGTGCACCTGGGTATTTTTGTCTAGATATTTTTAGTATTTTCAGAGTTATTGCCCTTGACTTAGTAAAATTTTGCAATTTTCAACTTGTGTCGCATGTAACTCAAAAAGTATTTGACCTAGAGTCATGAAACTTTACAGGAATGTTGATCAACATGTGTTGTTGTGCACCTGGGTATTTTCATCTGGATATTTTTATTATTTTCAGAGTTATTGCCCTTGACTTAGTAAAATTTTGCAATTTTCAACTTGTGTCGATCGTAACTCAAAAAGTATTTGACCTAGAGTCATGAAACTTTACAGGAATGTTGATCAGCATGTGTAGTTGTGCACCTGGGTATTTTCATGTGGATATATTTAGTATTTTCAGAGTTATTGCCCTTGACTTAGTAAAATTTTGCAATTTTCAACTTCAGTCGCACGTAACTCAAAAAGTATTTGACCTAGAGTCATGAAACTTTACAGGAATGTTGATCAGCATGTGTAGTTGTGCACCTGGGTATTTTCGTCTGGATATTTTTAGTATTTTAAGAGTTATTGCCCTTGACTTAGTAAAATTTTGCAATTTTCAGTATGTGTCGCACATAACTCAAAAAGTATTTGACCTAGAGTCATGTAACTTTACCGGAATATTGATCAGTTTGTGCAGTTGTGCACCAGGTATTTTCGTTTGGATTTATTTAGTATTTTCAGAGTTATTGCCCTTGACTTAGAAAATTTTTGCAATTTTCAACTTGTGTCGCAAGTTACTCAAAAAGGATTTGACATAGTCATTAAACCTTATGGGCAGGTTGCTCAGCATATTTAGATTTGCACCTGGGGTTTTGCTTGTGGATTTATCCAGTAGTTGTAGAGTTACTTCCCTTGACTTTGTAAAAAGATTGACAGAACAGTTGCGCGGTGGGGGCACCCGTGTCCTATGGACACATTTCTAGTTGTAAGACAAAGTTGGAGGGACTAGCTTAAAAACTACAACTAATTGAAATTTGACTTTAAAAAACTCCACAGAAGTTGCTAAAAGTTTTGTTATTGGAGTCTCCGAGTCAATGAATATGTAGTTACTTGTATAAAGAATCTTATTCAATGTACAGAGTGCTTTAATGATAGATTATTTTGAATATTTCAGATCATTTTGTACAGATGGAGGCTTGCCTCGACTGATGTATTTAACGAGGGTACATGAAACATATAACGCAAAAACCAAGAAATATGCTGCTTCTGTAAGTATAAAAACTTATGATTACTTTATCAGTTAGTCAATCAATATAATGACTTACAATTTCTTTATGGATGAATTTAAGCATCACTCCCCTATGCTGATTCTTTCAGTTGGCATGACTTTAAACAGCATTTCATATATATGTTGCAAAGTACCTGACAAATAGTCTTGGATTTAGTCAAAGAACTTTTCTGTTGCTGTGTATAATTAATCAAATTCCTATATAAAAACATTGAATCAATAGTGAAGAACAAGTAATGTAACATTAGACAAGATCTCATCTTTATCCAAACTTGTCATAGAAATATGTGTAATGCCCAGGATTTCAAGTTGATATTTTTACTAATATACTTTGTATGGTAAATAAATAGAGTAACAAAGTTTCAAAAGCAATTTGGTATATTGTTAAAATATTGTATTACAGGTGTGTCAAAGTTTGTGGGAAGTAAAAGTATTACATAAAATGTATTTAGGACAGGGATATACAGAAAAAGATTTCAAACCAGTAGTACCTGTATCAATGTAAGTTTCTAGTCAGTCTTATTTAAAATTTGAAAGGGTAATATTGGTATCCATGACAAAGTGGTTAAAGTTGTTTTCTTCAAACCACTTGCCCAACACTGCTATGTGTTCGAATCCCCACAATGACTTTTTCATGGGAGGAATCTTTTCAGGTAGCTTCAGTTCGTCGATGGTTCTACTTTGGGGCCTGTTCATGCCTGAAATAATGCATAGAAGGGTACCTCCACCTGTAAAACTGGAAAGTAACGGTACAACCTATACTGTTTCTATGTGACATAAAATCCAATCATTAAAAAACCAAAAGGATCAACAGTTGCAGGTTATTATAATAATTGCAAGTACATGCCTCAATAATAAATGCCTCTTAATAAAACTTGAAAGTAATATTGTTTTGATTTAAGATCTCACAAATAGCAGAGGAAAAAGGATCTATTAAAATGGCTGTTATTTTGTTATATGTATATAATTGTGTTAATGTTTACAGTGTTGGTCAACCAAACAGTAACTTCTCAACACCATATAACACCATTAGTCGACCAGCTTACAGTCAGGGTTATGATGATACCACATTGGCATCACGGCGTGGCAATGGTTACACAGGGAATCAAGCCGTGATGGGAAGTAATCCAAGGCTTGTACAGGGTCACAGTAATCCTGCACTTGATCAACATGGTAACTTTCTGATATAATTGAATAATTTTTGAAGTCTTCCTTGTAATAATCATATTTTACCTAAACTTTCATTTTTCTTTTGTTTTATATCAAACCTTTTGGTGGAGATGCTTCTTTTGATTTTAGGCAACACTGCTGTTATTATTGTACTTATATGATAGTCCTGCATTTTAAATACATGACTACTTTATAGTTGAACAGAAGTACATGAAAGAATCTGTTCACAATGTTAGACGTCACTGACTGGTAAATTGTTGGTACTGGTTAGACCAGGAAGTAGAATAAAGACTGGTTAAATTATGCTCTAAGCTTTCATTGCTGTACGGCCTTAACTGAAAATAAATTTTAACTTAAGTTATTGACTTGTAAACTTATATTGATCTTCCATAGATGGTATGGATTTAATTGTGCCAATGTCTGTAAGCAAATGTAATCAAAATTCTGGTTTTTTAAGGACTATTTAAACTTAATATTTGATTCAAGTGTTTTTATTTTAGACATGTATGGAAGTAAACAGGGTCGACTGGATGCTGTACCTATGAATGATATTGGTCCAGGTTACGCCCCCATTGACGAACAAAGAAACCCACGAAATAAACCTCCAGCTGGGGCAGTACCTCTCTTCCCAAATATGATGCCGGTAAGTGATTATTGAGGATATGATTTTAACAGACAGTTGAATTCTTTCAGAGAACACATGTATATTATATATTGTTTTAATATGATCTGACATTATTGCATCATTCATTTCAACACTCTAATATCAAAAGGGTTGTAATTCATATTTTTTTTTCAAAAGTTTCAAATACAATTATTAGCAGTTCAGTTTCAAAAAAGTTAAACTGTTTAAGAAGTCTATAGTTAATTTATTTAGACGACATTATTCTATCTAGCAGTCAGAAGTTTAACAGTTCCAAGAATATTCCGTTGGCGCCTGAAATAATGCATAGAAAGGGCACCAGGGTTCTTCCTTCACCAGTAAAACTTTACAGAAAGTCGCTTATGATCTATGTGTGGGTGCAATGTAGAACCCACCTAATGAAAAATGAATTCTTTCAGAGTATTACATGTATTATAAATGATTTTTATATGATCTGACATAATTGCATTTCTTTCTTGATCTTTTTAACACACGAATACTAAAAGGTTGTAATCAATCTTGTTTTCAAAATTTTTAAATACATTTATTAGTAGTTCAGTTTCAAAATTTATATCACTGTTTAAGAAGTCTATTAAATAAATGCCTTTATAACTAAGTATATTGATTTAGAAGACTTTATTCTAGCGAGCAGTCAGAAGTTTAACAGTTCCAAGCATATTTCAGATTGTGTATGAATAGATTGCATGCAGGTATGTCTTAAGACGACCTTTAAGGTTTAAAGCTGGTTAAAATTGATAGTGTTAGTATAATTCTGATAATTTCCTCTGACTTTTGTAGGGTCAGCCACAAGGGAGTCCTACCCAGGAACCACTGTATGCAAGGGTGAACAAGAAAAGACCAGTCAGTCCGAGTCAGGTTATGTTGGGACAGGAACAGGCGGAAGGAGCAGATTCATGGGTATAGCGAACATTGTGATAAAACAGAGAGGATTGATTTATTGTGAACAACTCTCAATAGGCTAACACAACATAAGTCAACACAACATAGGTCAACACAACATTGGCCAATAATAGGGAAGCTCAAATACGGTATCCTGATGTTCAGGCAGTGATAATCTGTCTGGAGGAAACCGTCTCCTTATCTGTGTTGATGATGGAGTCAACAGAATTGTTTATCACTTTTTTGGCCTAAGTGTTTTGTAGGTAATACTTGAAGGACTGATAAAAAAGCCTTTGTATTACTTATACACATTGAAACTTTCTATTAACTTTAGTGCATTTCCTTAGGAAATAAAACTGTTGTGCCAACTATGAAAGACAAATAATTCAATACATGACTGTAAATTCAGTGTTGTATAATGTTTATGAGATACAATAAACAAATCCCTATGTGTTGATACTACACAACATTATTTTTAACCTTGAATGAATGTGTTGACACAAATATATGCTTGTGCTTTTCGGGTGAGAGGAGATGGTATGGTGGAAGGATTGTGGGTAGACTGCTATTGCATGACAAGCTGTAATCAACTGTGGGGTACCTTGAGTATTGGTTTTATAAACCATAAAGGTTGTTGAGTTGAATAGGTAACATCTATCAGACAAGCTTAAGGAGGATTAAACAATGATGTTCTACATAAAGGACATGGTTGGGTGTTATTCCTTTACATTTTGAATGTATGTTGATGTTAGGAGGCAGTGATGCAGTTATGGCCTAAAAGTTGTTTTTTTTACATTCCATATAACATGTGACGCATTGTATTTACCAGTATGGTGATATTTAACATTATAATTATGCAAAAACAAAGTTCATATGGCATAAGTGGCTATGAATTTTGTATATTTTTAAGAAAAGTAGATTAAATAATGATTGTGAAGTGTGAATACTTAAAATATTTGTGATCATGAGAGAAATATGAGTTATTGTGAACCAATTTTTGTACATTTCGTTTTATTTTTATTTGTTTTCGTCATTTCGTTCACTAACTAAAATCATCTGGGATGTGTGAGCAATTTTTATATAATACATACCTAAATATTATTGTTATGCAGTAACTGTATAGTTGTGTATGAGCATTTTTTTCTCTCCCAAAGCAGTTTATATCCATAGTGATTCTTCTTAGATTTGTTATTTTTAAAACCGTTGTCAAGCTGCTTTTCTTTGTATATGTTACGTATATATTATATCTCCATCATGATAACTATAGAGGAGATTTTGATACAGTAATCAGATACAGCATGCAAGAGGCTTACAGCTCACACAACTCTAAAATATTTTATATATATACCCTACCATAGTATTGTACACTAGAGTACAGAAATGTGTATTTTATATAATATTAATATGTAGTCTGCTTTATGCTAGATGGGTTTCTATTTTCAACTGGAAGTTAAATCTTCTGTTGAGGGAAATATTGTACCAGAATCTATGAGATAAGAAGAGATAATAGATATTATCTAGAGCCATGTGTGGTATTTATTCCTTCTAATACATATTAAACAATTTGAGACAGCTCTTACAGGTATGTTCAGTGAAGAGTTCATGCTCTTTAAATCCTTTTTAGCTCGACTTTTCTATGAAAAGGGGAGCTATCCTACTCGCCCCGGCGTCGGCGTTGGCGTCACACCTTGGTTAAGTTTTTCGTACCACCCCACTTTATTTCAGAAGTATTACAAGTATGGCTTTGAAACTTACCATACTTGTTCACCATCATAACCTCCATCTACAGACAAGAGTACATAACTCTGTCAAGGTTTTTGACAGAATTATGGCCCTTTTTTGACTTAGAAAGTGTATTGAGCTTGGTTAAGTTTTTTGTACCACCTCACTTTATTTCAAAAACCATTGGAGGTATTGCTTTGAAAACTGACCATACTTGTTTACCATCACGACCTTCATCAACAGACAAGAGGACATAACTCTGTCAAGGTTTTTGACAGAATTATGCCCTTTTTGACTTAGAAAATACATTGAATATGGGTAAAATCCACTTAATTGCCTTAAACCCTTTGAGATATTGCTTTGAAACTTTTTAATGCTATTGTCAATCATTACCCATGCTGTAGCAAGAGAAGTTACTCCTGTCAAGGGATTTGTTTAAAATTAAGGCCGTTTTTAATCGACTTAAGAATATAACTTATTTCATTTCGTGACTACACTGTTTGCTTACCATACAGGAATTAGGGGAGGGGCATTCCGAAGATAGTAGAATGATGCTGTTCAACGAGATGCCCCCATTGGTAAAAAATATACTCAATGTCACGATTTCATGCACATTTAAGCATGCAATAATAATGAATTCGAACTTCCTTCATGTAATTCAAATATGTTAACAACGCATTTATTACTACAGTGGACCACCGAAAAGTAACCAATCCACCTCACCAGCCTGTGTTGAAAGAGATCCACTTGTGACCAACTTGACAACATCTAAAAAAAAGCTTGGATTAAATTTATTCTATTACTTGTATTATAAGGTAACTAAATATTTGACATACAAAGTCAAGTCTATATATTATGCTGATTGTATCAAAAATAGTACTGCTTCCTTGGGCATACGATTGTCTTTGAAAAATTTATGTTTTAGTCATTTATCAAGGTGTTCTGATGACGTATAATACCTTGATTCTCTCAAGATGGGTTAATTAACTATTAATTATTTAAGGCTCACTCACGTTTTTTTTTTTCTTTCTTACGCAGCCCTCTTTTGACTTCACATTTCAAACTTTGCTGCAGTGTTTCAGGGTATCACACAATTCAGGTAAAAATAATTCTTTTCACTAAAATATCTTAATACTCCATGGCCATTGTTCACTTTAAAAATACAGAGATTCTTGTATTGCCTTTTACTGCAAAAACTTTTTTTATTGGCAAGCAATAAAAAAGTTGAGCGCGCTGTCTTACGGACAGCTCTTGTTACATGGTCTTTTCGGTGTTGATGTGACTTAAAATTACGTATTTTATAATTTAAAAAAACTATTCTCAGTGATATTGTAACTAGTAATATACAGAAAACAAAAAAAATAAGAAATTAGAGTACAAGAAGGAAACATCCAGGTTATGGTTTACACAAGGTGTATAAAGTAGATTGAAATATTTAAAGGCATTTGTTTGGCACATGATGTTGCTTATAGTTAATCAATCATACTAGCTTAAATGTGGAAGGCAATAATATTTTAAATCTGTATAGTACCATAAGTTTACAAGTGTGAAGTAAAATGCTCTTACTCAGTTGCATGTATGGTTTATTCAGAAAATAAAGTGTATTCTAAAACCATTAAAGTTTTAGGGTATTTTTTGACATGAAAAAATAATATTGTTGAAAATATGTATAAGACAAACTCTTGTATGTATAAATGACTTTTTGTTAAACTTTTTAATCAAGAAAACATTTACTTTATTCTCTGACAAATTCACATCAATTTGGCCTATGTGTGTAGATCTTTATTTTAACTGTCTGTGCTCAATTCATAAATGATTTTGGTTGTGCCATTTTTTTAGTGAATTTTTTACAGATTAAATATTGTTTTAACATTTAATTTCCAGGGTTGTGGAGTATTTCAAAATGTTGTGAGAAATTTTAAAGTTGAAGTAACTAAGAAAAGTATACATACCAATTATATGAATGTAATTTCCAGATTTTCTTGTTTATTTTATTTATTCAGTTTCAAGGTTGACATTATTTTACAAACTTTATTATGATCACACAATAGCTTATATGAGCCACGTCATGACAAAACCAACATAATGGGTTTGCGACCAGCATGGATCCAGACCAGCCTGCGCATCCGCGCAGTCTGATCAGGATCCATGCTGTTCGCTGTCAGTTTCTCTACTTGTTATAGACTTTGTAAGCAAACAGCATGGATCCTGATCAGACTGCGCAGATGTGCAGGCTGGTCTGGATCCATGCTGGTCGCAAGCGCACTATGTTGGTTTTGTCATGACACGGCTTATATTATAATTGTTGTTTACGGTAATCTTAGGTCATGTATTTTTCGTGTAAATTATGTAAATAATCTATATCTAGCTCATCAGATCTTTTTAGAACATACTACAAATTGTTGGTGTTTGTATATTTTTCTATGTAAATGTTTTAAAAAATTAGACGCTGTATTTGTAAAAGTAATTAAAAGAATGCCCTTTCTTTACTCATAGCTATAACATATATATCATATCATACATTTTTTGATAACATATTATATATACACCATGTTCTAAATTAATAAAAGAGAGGGAAAACATGAAATACTTGGTTTGTTTTTATTAGCTCACGAGAATCTGCTGATCAGGATAAGCTTTTAAGACAGAGTGAATCATCTGGTTGGTACATTGTGATTTCCTTATATGCACTAGGTAAAAAGTTTGTTATTTGACATACAGCTATAAAATTTGAACCAAAATAATAATCAAATAATATACATCTTGGACCATGTGTACATTTTAAGAATAGATCGCAATAATAGTTGACCTATATTTTGAACTAGTGACCTAATTTCAAAGTCAGTAAATTCTACTGCATTATCACAAAGTTTCAGAAAGAAAAAGTGTACTATTTCTGTTCTAGCTATTTAATGTTGAATAATGCAGTGGCATAGCATTGGGCACAAATGCAATTTTTTTTAAGTGATTATCTTTAAAATTTGTTCATTAAAATGCTTGGACTCAAAAAAAAAATAAAACCATTGAAAATCTTGGATAAATGTACTTTATACCTTAACCGATGCCTACGACATGTATGTATAATGTCCTTGAATAGTCCTCTTTTAAAATTTGTTCATAAAAACTGGCTAGACTCGTATTAGAGTTCATCACATTTGAATTATAAAAACTTTAAGCATCTCACTAATAAGTGCATCATTACCAAACTGCATTATTAAAATCATTGGATTGCCTCCCAACTACTTGAGCCACATTAAGGTACCACCACAAAAGTGAAAAACCTTTGAACAAGTTCTCAGTCTAAATCATTGGCAGACTTGGTCTAATGTACCACTTTTTTTCTTTAGCAAATTGGCACTATTGTCATGGGAGACCTGCTTTGCCCTTGAATAATTTATGAAAGTCAGTATTGACATTGTTAGCTCAACTATTTGATAAGAATAAGTAGAGCTATCATTGTCACCTGAGCGTCCTTGTAACCACTTATATTAAAATTTTTGTAACACCTCAAATATTTTTAGAGTCCATTGACATTTGGCTTTGAAACTTTGCACACTTGTTAATGTTAACCATCATGCCCCCAACCTGTAGACAGAAGGAGGTAACTATCAAGCATTTTGACAGAATTATGCCCCTTCTTCGACATAGAATTTACATTAAAGTTTGTGTACCACCTCTTAATATTTTCAAAGTCTATTGACATATGGCTTTGAAACTTTGCACACTTGTTAACCATCATGCCCTCGACCTGTAGGCAGGAGGAGGTAACTATCAAGTATTTTGACAGAATTAAGCCCCTTTTTCGACTTAAAATTTACATTAATGTTTGCGTACTACCTCAGATATTTTCACACATACTACCTCAGATATTTTATATTCATTGACATCTTGCTTTAAAACAAATTGAAATTTCATACACTTCTTTGAGAGCATAATAGGATTCTCTCCAAGGCCTATAACTGTATCATGGATTTGAAAAAAAAATGGCCCTTTTGTGAACTTAAATTTTTTTACATTATCAAGACTACTTTACTATCGAGCACTTAGAATAGTAGAGCATGCTGTCCTACTGACAGCTCTTGTTTTTTTTAACCACAATGGCTCTATAAGGTTTCATATTGTTTAAATTTAACAAGAAAATCTAAAGTACTGTGAAAGAAAGCTGTGGTCAGTAGAGAATGATTAGTCTTGGTGCAAAAAGGAAAACCCATGATATTTTATATACGGTACAAAGATTTAGTACTAAAAAGTCAAAGCTATAATGGCATTTCATAGACAGTGTTAGAACTATAAAGACAGAGTCATGGTATTCTATATACAAAGCATAAGTATTGTAAAAGCAAACCATAGTATTTTATAGACAAAACATAAATACAATAAAGAAAAAGCTATGATATTTTATAGATAAAGCATTAGTACAAACAAAGACAGAGTTATTGTATTCTATAAAAATAAAGCCA